TGACGACCAAGTACCGCATCGACGACACCGTCGAGCGCGAAAAGGCGAGGCTAGTCGTGAAGGGCTTCACGCAGGTGTACGGCACTGACTACGACGAGACGTACTCCCCGGTGAGCAGCTACGTCACGCTGAGGATCTTCCTCAGCATAGTCGCCGTCCTCGATCTCAACCTGATGCAGCTCGACATGAAGAATGCTTTCCTGCAGAGCAAGCTTGACAGGGTGCTCTACATGTACCAACCGGACTATTTCAACGACGGGACCGGCCGGGTGTGTAAGCTGCTGAAGAGCCTCTACGGGCTGAAGCACTCGCCGCTGCTGTGGTACAGGGCTCTCGACGGTGTGCTGCTGGGCGCTGGCTGGAAGAAGAGCCAGGTCGACGAGGCACTCTACTTCAAGGTCGGAGACGACGGAGTGACCTGCTGGGTGCTGGTCTACGTCGACGACCTGCTTGCTGCTAGCAGCAGCACCGCTATGCTGAAGGAGCTGAAAGAGCTGCTGGAGGCCGCCTTCGAGCTACGTGAGATCTCACTAGTGGTGAAGTACCTTGGGCTGGAGATCTTGCGCGACAGGCCGCCCAGGAAGCTGTGGCTGCACCAGCAGGGCTACGCCGACAAGCTGCGCAGGCGCTTCATCGACGAGGAGCAGGGCGGTCGAGACCCGAAGACGCCAGTCTCGGTTGACGCCTACGCTCAGCTGACGTTCGACGACGAGGAGGCTCAAGAGCGCGAGGAGGAGGAGTACCGGCAGAAGGTCGGCTCGCTGCAGTTTGAAGCAACGACGACCAGGCCGGACATCGCGTTCGCCTGCAGCAAGCTGGGGAGCGGCCTCACGGTGAGGAGCGACCAGCATTGGCGCGAGGTCGACCGCTGTCTCGCCTACCTCGCCGACACCCGCGACACTGCCCTGGAGTTTGGCGGTGGACCAGAATTGTTGGAGCTGATCGGCTACGTCGATGCCGACGACGCGGGCGACAAGCAGAACCGGACGAGCACGGGAGGCTACGTGTTCGTCTACGGAGGGGCCGCAGTCTCCTGGTCGAGCTCGCGCATCTAGTGCGCGACATTGTCATCGACCAAGTCGGAGTACGTGGCGGCAACGGACGCCGGCAAAGAGGGGCGTCGACTTCGCTTCCTCCTTGCGGAATTCAAGCTGCTCGACGCTGGGAAGCCGACCATCCTCCGCGTCGACAACAAGTCGGCAATCACGGTCGCTGAGGGCTTGGGGCTGACGGGCAACCTCAAGCACATGGAGCGACGCTACGCATGGCTGCAGCACATGGTGAGGCGCGGGAAATTTGTGCTGAACTACATCCCTACCACCGAGCAGCCGGCGGACTTCCTGACGAAGGCGCTGCATTTTCCGGCTTTCAACCGGTGCTCTGTCGCCATCGGCCAAGTTTGCCTGGTCGACATCGGCGACGGCGACGACGAGGTGCAGCAGTAGGTGCCGTGCCCTTCTGCACGGCTGGTGCGGTGACGGCGTGCTGTGTGTGGGGTGCACGCCGAGGACGAGTTTTCTCCGTGGAGTAGTGCCGTGTGGGCTGGAGGCCCAAGCGTGAGCGCGGCAGGGGAGTGTTAACAGGAATGGAGTGTTGGCCCCGCCCTCGCTTGGGCAACGCCGACGACTTGGTCGGATGCACGGGAGGAGCAGCCGACTGTTCACAGTGGGATAGCTGCTCGACAGGTTACGTCGAGCTGCAGCGGACCGCTGTGGTGTTGCTGTCGACCAAGGAGCTTGACAGCTGCAACTGGCTGGTCTGTGCGACGGGTGGGCCGTCAGGGAGGTTGACGAAGCAGTCCGTCGACCTGCAGTTCGACCGGGAAGTCGATAGAGCAGTTCTGGTCGACGGAAGGGGTGCGCCGACCAGGTGTGTCGCTGAGAGACGTCTACCTCCCCGCAAAAAATTGAGATAGTGAGGAAGCGAAGGTGTGGGTGCGGTCCGAGAAGCAGGGCTAACTTTAGTGCCAGAGCCTGTCTGACAGTAAGACCGGGTCCTGAGTCCTTGTCTGATGGTCAGACGAAAGTTGAAGCCTAGTCTTACGTTTCAGACGAATAAAAAGCACTTGTCAGAGCCTTCAGACGGAATTAGATAGTTAGTCTTATTGCAAGCTGGTTTCCTAGCCTACGTAGTTTCTATACTAAAGGTTATGTAACGACATCCTTTCCTAAGAAGAATCACTTGCACTACTGCTGTCACTGTCATCACTATCACTGCCACTGTCACCACTACCACTGCCACTCTCAGAGGTTTCAACAACTGTGGCTCTGGATTTGCCCTTCCTCCAGGTAGGCAACTCCCAAGCAGCATCTTCTGCAGCCCTCTCTCTCTCTCCTTTGATGCAGCCTCTTCTGCCTCTCTCCATGCGCGTGTAGCTACTTCTGCTGCTGCTGATGCTGCAGCGCGCTTCTTCAGGTGATGGGACCGCGATCGCTTCAACGGGCGTGATCCTTCAGCCATGACCACCTCTCGAGCCGGCCGCCTCTTCTTGCTGGCATACCACCTATCCACAAGCTCCTCTGTGTTCAGCTCGTAATCCAAAAGGGACACCGTCATCAGGTCGCCTAGTGTCGTGTCGCACAAGCTGCCCCGCACCCAGCTTTTGATGATGTTCTGGCGGCTGAAGCCGCGCTCACACTCAACAGTGCTGAGTGGTAGCACAGCAACAGCTATCCACAGGCGGCCCAGGTTCGGATAGGCTGACTCCCATTCCGGCGTTGAGAGCATCTGCGACAGGCTGTCGTGGAAGGACAGGTCTTCGTGGTGATGGGAGAGGATTGTCGTGAAGCTGGTGAGCTCCTTGGCGGCTTTGCCTCAGTCAACACCTGATGGTGAGGGGTAGGGTAGGGTGTGGGACATCGGATATCATTGCAGAGAGTCAATTCTTGGCACGGCAGCAATAACGCAACAAGTAAAAATGCAGGTTTAAAAACAAACCGCTTACCGGGGAGGGTGTCTGGATGGTTGGGCTTCTTCTTGAACAGGTTGCGCAGTGACTCGAGCCATTCGGAAAAACGACGCGCTCTCTTAGCGCGGGAACGAGGGTACCGTCCCTGCCGAAACAGACGGGCCCCATCCAACGACTTGAGACTCTTCATGCGATCCTCAATGAAGAACACAGTCCTCCCAGCGAACTTAGATGCTGCCTCCACGCACGACGCCAGGTCGCCCCCAAACTTCTCCTTCCCGATCAGGTCCTCGTGCAGCAAGTAGGTGTGAGTCACGGGTTCTCCCGCGGTGTCGATGCTTTCGACCTTCACTTCGCGTTGCTCAGTGCTCCCGTGGTTCTTCAGGAACGTCGCAAGACGACCACTGTTGGCGCCGAAGGTGGAGCCGTACTCCACATAGCGACCTTTCAAGATCAACGTGGTGTGCTGCACCATCGGCCGAACCTGCGTCGCATCAAGCTGCACATATTAAAGAGAAACAGAATTAGTCTCGGCTCACGGAAAGAAAGAATGCAAGGTGTAACTACACGTCCTTACCTGTCGTCGTTGGAACTTGAGATTCAGGCTGTTCAGCTCCTGAAGCACGTCAACCAGAAAGAAGAGGAAAAACTGAAACTTGAGACTGGTAACAAGAGTGTACGTTGTCTTGTCGTACTCATGCAGCAGGACAACGGCAGCAGGCAGAACGTCTGCAAAGCGCTGGATGGCGTCCCCGCGCGACAGCTAGCGGACGTCCTTAATGCCTTGCATCTCCGGGTTGGTCTCTGTGATGACCTCCTGCAGCTTCTTGAATTGCGCATGCTGCACTATGCTGCGGCCGAGAATGTCCGTGAAAGACCGGTCGACTTTGTCGACGACATTGAACTCGGGAAATTCTTCAGCCGCATCCTTAGCAGCCAGAGCCTCCCTACAGTTATAACACGAGTAGGATTAGTCGGAGGACAGCAAATGTCAGATAGATCACAACAGTAAAAACAACACACTACCTGTGGGCCACGCAGTGGCACGGCACAATATGCGGCACCCGCGTTCGTAATCGCGCCACCAAGCCTGTCTGACCGCCCGTCATCACGCTCGCGCCGTCCGTGGTCATGCCGCTGATCCTTGTCAGTTCGAGGCCGCAAGCAGCAAGGTGTGTCAACAGGACCGCCTCAAGCGACCCGGCGTCGCACTTCTCAACGGACAAGTTCGCGAAGAACTCGGTAACCACCACCGTGCCACGGAGAAACGTGGCATACACAATCATGTGTTTGCCACGCCTTCGGTCGGCGCTTTCATCAAGTTGGAGGCCAACGAAGGGACTGATGCTGATGTGCTGCATCTGCTTCGCCTTAAAGTAGCACACCAGCGTTTGGACCAACTGCTTGAAACCATACCTGCGTCAACGAGGACACAAAAGAAATGGTAAGTAAGGGGTATTCAGAAACCACAATGATGTGAACATATAAACTCACGTTGAACAATAAGTCCCTTGGTCCTTGGCCGGCATATCTGGCGTCCCCATTTCTGCCATGAACTGCACGAGTGTCATGAACATGAAAATGGGGGTGTCGGATTTGCAAAGGAAACGCACGGTGAGAAACAGCTGTATCAAACGCCGAGTTTCCGCACTCTTATCTCCAAAGTTGGAGATAGATGCCCGCCTCTTCTGCGGGGCTTCACGCTGCTCCAATCGGTCCTTCGCCTCCCGGTGCCGGATGCTCCACTGATGCTTCCTCATCGTCTGCTTCTGTATGTCGATGCCTCCCTCGCCCCGAGCGCCGTACTGTGACCCAGGATTGTCAGAATATATCTGTAATTGCCTGTAGCTGTAGTTAGTGTAGTTATTATAAACTTTGGTTGGTGGTGCACCTTCTTTGTTACTTTGCTATATGTTCTTACAAACCTATAGTGAAGCCCCTCATTTCTCCTTCTCAACTTTCTCGACACTCTCCTCAACCCTAAACCTAAACTACTAAGAACCTAACTAGCAATGGCTCCTAAGTCAAGCTAGACTTTGATATGGTATTCAGAGCAGGTAACGTCCTCCTGCTGCCTTCCTGCTTCCGCTGCCTATCGTCCTGCCGCGCGCCTCGGGCGCGCGGCGTATTTTTCTCGCCGTGCGCCTCTGCCTGTTGCTGCCTGTTGCTGCCCGTGCCTGTGCTGCCTGTTGCTGCCTGTTGCTGCCTGTGCCTGTGCTGCCCGTTGCTGCCTGTTGCTGCCTGTGCCTGTGCTGCCCGTTGCTGCGTGTTGTTGCCTGTGCCTGTGCTGCCTGTTGCCGCCCGTTGCTGCCTGTGCCTGTGCTGCCTGTTGCTGCCTGTTGCTGCCCGTGCCTGTGCTGCCTGTTGCCGCCCGTTGCTGCCCGTGCCTGTGCTGCCTGTTGCTGCCTGTTGCTGCCCATGCATGTGCTGCCTGTTGCCGCCCGTTGCTGCCCGTGCCTGTGCTGCCCGTTGCCGCCCGTTGCTGCCCGTGCCTGTGCTGCCCGTTGCCGCCCGTTGCTGCCCGTGCCTGTGCTGCCCGTGCATGTGCTGCCTGTTGCCGCCCGTTGCTGCCCGTGCCTGTGCTGCCCGTTGCCGCCCGTTGCTGCCCGTGCCTGTGCTGCCCGTTGCCGCCTGTTGCTGCCCGTGTCTGCGCTGCCCGTTGCCGCCCGTTGCTGCCCGTGCGTGCGCTGCCCGTTGCCGCCCGTTGCTGCCCGTGCCTGTGCTGCCTGTTGCCGCCCGTTGCTGCCCGTGCCTGTGCTGCCCGTTGTCGCCCGTTGTTGCCCGTGCCTGTGCTGCCTGTTGCCGCCTGTTGCTGCCCGTGCCTGTGCTGCCCGCTGCCGCCTGTTGCTGCCCGTGCCTGTGCTGCCCGTTGCCGCCCGTTGCTGCCCGTGCCTGTGCTGCCCGTTGCCGCTCTGCTGCTGTCCGCGCCCTCGTGCGCCCTGCTGCTGCCCGCGCCCTTGTGCGCTCTGGTTTGCCTGCGCCCTCGTGCGCTCTGCTGCTGCCCGCGCCCTCGTGCGCCCTGCTGCTGCCCGCGCCCTTGTGCGCTCTGGTTTGCCTGCGCCCTCGTGCGCTCTGCTGCTGCCCGCGCCCTCGTGCGCCCTGCTGCTGCCCGCGCCCTTGTGCGCTCTGCTCTGCCTGCGCCCTCGTGCGCTCTGTTCTGCTATGTCGCCCCTGCCCCCCCCCCCCCCCCCCCTTCTTCGTCTCCTTGCTACGCGTGCAGGCGTGGAACGGAGGCTATGGGGGTGGCGGGTATGGGGGTGATGGGTGTGTGTGATCCCCTTCCCCTCCTCCTCCTTTCTCTCCCACTGTTGCAGCTGCCGCTGGGGGGGGGTGGGTGTGAGGGTATGGGGGAGCTGGGAGAGAGGTGCCAGGGTTGTCAAGGAGTGTGAAAAGGGGAGTTGGAGGACTGAGGAAGGTTCCAGGAAGCAGCCGCCTTTGAGCCAGTAGCTTCACCTGCCAGCAGCTTCTCCTCATATAGTCCCTCCTCCTCACTTGCCCTCTCCTTCTCCTGCGCTTGGTGTACCCCTTCAAGGGGTGTCTCTGCATTAGCTTCTGCTGCAGGCAGTTATGGGGGAGTGTCACAACATATCTGTAACTGCCTGTAGCTGTAGTTAGTGTAGTTATTATAAACTTTGTTTGGTGGTGCACCTTCTTTGTTACTTTGCTATATGTTCTTACAAACCTATAGTGAAGCCCCTCATTTCTCCTTCTCAACTTTCTCGACACTCTCCTCAACCCTAAACCTAAACTACTAAGAACCTAACTAGCAATGGCTCCTAAGTCAAGCTAGAATTTGATAAGGATCTGCGTACACCATGCAGATCTTGCACCTCATGCAAGGTCGACCTTCGGCGGTGTCACCGATGATGAGCCAAGGGAAGTGGTGGCTCCACTGCTGCTTGGCTTTTAGCTGCATCTCCTCTAGCGACAGAATCTTCGGTCCGGCATTCTCGGACCCGCGGCGCTCCCCTCCATCTTCCTTAGTTGTGGGATTCCCTGCAGAGGAAGGGCTTGGGCGTTTCGAAAACGGAAGCTTATTTTGCACAAATTTGGTCTTGCCAGTAAACCGCGGCGGGAGAAACGGAGAGCGGGATTGGAATGGATTTTTTCTAGCCGGAACAGATGATGCGATAGGTTGACCGGATGGCGAACCCCCATGGTGGCTGGTATGAGCGGCTCGACATCCATCTCAGCGAAAGGGTACGACTGCTCGGCAGAATCGAGTTTCTCATTCTGACAAGCCGAAGGAGCAACAGCAGCAGCTGGGACTGGAGTAGGGGTGAAACCCCCCCCGTAAGGAAATCCAAGCCAGTGCGTGGGCGGGGCAACGCACTGGAAGGAGGTGAAGCATGCAGAGTGGATGCTGGAGGGGCCTCTGTGCGGGGGTCTACTGCCATCTCGGTGGAACTATGCACCGACTGGCTCTAGCTGACGAGGGTAAGATGAAAGTAACCTAATGCTGTGGAGAGTGAGGGGGGACCGTCCGAACCGAGCCGCATGCATGAACGTCCTCTTCTCTGCTGGAAGCAGCCACGCCATCCATCCCTCGCTGACCTGACGCGCAGTGAGGGCTGTCGGTGTTGCAAATGCAGCCTTCTGCCGTGCGCTGGCACGAATATGCCAAACGAACTGGCAAGATTCGTGCCAGCAGGGTGACTGCGGCGCAGTAACGTGCGGTGGACCGGTGGTGTTGTCACCGACCTCGGCAATGTACAGCCTGCCGGTGGCATCAAGGTAACGCGGCGGGTGGCTAGTCTCGTCCGTAACTGGCCAGGTGGGCAACTGGCCAGGTGGGGGCAATTGTCTGTTTCAGACGAAAAAAAACTCGATGTCTGCAGTCTCAGACGAATCGTATAAAATTGTCTGACAAATCAGACGAATAAAAAAAGTTTCTCTTAAAAATCAGATGACATACCGTATCGCCCCGGATATAGGCGCCGTCCGATTAAAGGCGCCGGCGCTTCTATCTGGAGCATGGCGCCTATGGCCGGAATTCGATTATAAGCGCCCCCCCTAGAAAACCTTTACTTATTATAAGCGCATATGCGATTTGAATTTAAATTCTTGCCTAAAACAATAACGAAATCCATTTTTGCAGCGAGTCAGATTTCAATTTCGCTTCGTTCGACTCGTGAAGACCTGACTGGCTGCGCGTCCAGTCAGGATGTGCTGGAATGACGTGGCTTTGCCTGTGTGTGAACCCAGAATATCGCTTGTGCGAGATTCTGCATTGTGACGCTAAAACATTTCGACTCGGTTGAAATGGCAAGAAGAAAATGAACAATTTGGTGCTCTAAAATTATAATTTCGTATTTGTCATTATATAAGCGCCGGCGCTTATGGCCGTTACTCAATTACAAGCGCCCCCCCTCAAAAAAATGATTTTATTATAAGCGCATATGCGCCTATATCCGGGGCCATACGGTAAAATAGCTTGTCTACGGCATCAGACGAACTAGTAAAAAGGTGTTCAAATTCCAGAAATTCAGACACATAATTTCTAATAAAGTAAGCCCTGCCGAGAAGAGATCGTAGGCTCTGAATACCAAGTGTTACCGTCATCGCCCGGATATAAGACAGTGTCGAATTGAAGACATGGGGTGTCGTTAAAACGGGTGTTTCTTATAGATGGGTGTTCCTGATTATAAGACAGCTGTCGGTGTGTACGAGTTAGGCCAGTATATGGATTAGGGGCAATCTTATGACTAGGGGGTATCTTCTAAACGGTTTTTTGTCCATTTATAAGAATTATAAGACACCCTCAACCATCCCAATTACAAGACACAGCAAGCTTTTTTTCTAATGTATAAGATAAGACATACATGTCTTCTATCCGTGCGATGACGGTACGAGTGCAATTGAGTGAGCGAGCGAGAATTGCACTATCGAAGCAAGAGTACAATGAGCGAAGAATATATAGCGAAACTACAGTGGTAACGGTAATGGACTGTGGTTGTCGCGCGACGGGCCTGGGACTGAGGTTTGGGAAAATGTCGAAGCGGAGGTCCGGAGCGCGGGTTACCCGCCGAGCCGTGAGGTCGGGGTGCGATGTGCGAAATGTGAAGTAAAGAAAACAGGAATAAAATGACTAAGGAAAGATTGGGTACAAATACAACCCTAGAAACCCTGTACCCCATATGTACTACCCCACTATAGCCTACAGCAACTATGTCATATAAATCTGACACACCCCCATAGGCAAAGTGGGGGAGAACAAGGGGTCACAAGACCAGTCAAGCAAAGCAAAGCAAGCTCAGGGTGGATCACAAAGTCACCACACAGTCCGAGCACAAGAGTAGGGCCAGAGGCCAGTTCACATGCAGGAGTACAGACATATATATAAAACTAGACAAACAAGAGCAGGCATATATATGTCACAGTACAAGTGAAGTCAAGAGGAGAGCAAGTGAGGCAAGACAGGCACAAGACCCAGCTGGGTGCAAAAGCGCTGATGGTCACAAGGCGCGAGTGCCTTGGTGAACACATCAGCAGTGTTGGCCTCAGACGCCACGTACGCAAGTCGCAACTGACCACGCTGCTGCAGCTCACGAGCAAGGAAGTAGCGGAGAGCAATGTGCTTCGTTCTGTGCTCCAAGCGCTGCTCTCGACACAAGGCCAGCATAGCCTTGTTGTCTACGTACAGCACTGGAGGAGAACGAGGCGGCTCTCCAAGGTCAGTCAGCAGGTAGGTGAGCCAGCGAAGCTCCTGTGCAGCCATGGCCCCGGCGTAGATCTCAGCCTCACAACTGGAGCCGAGAACCGAAGACGAGCGAGTAGACCGCCACGAGACAGAGCCGGAACCAAGGCTGAAGGTGTAACCCTGTGACGACCGCTGCGTAGCCTGGTCGTCAGCCCAAGAAGCGTCCGCGTGGCCGGTAAGGACCACTGGACTCCGCCCTCCAAGCACTAGCCCCATGCCCGACGTACTGCACAGGTAGCGCAATACCCTCTTCGCTGCAGCCATGTGCTCCGGTCTGTGTCTCCCAGGAGCAACATAGCGTGCAAGAATGCTCAGAGGGTATGCAAGGTCAGGTCGTGTGCAGGTCATCAGGTACATGAGGCAGCCAACAAGCTCTGCATACGGACCACTCGACTCTACGGACTCATCCGAAGGCAGAGCTGAGAGTGAGTGGCGAGTAGGCAGAGGAGTGGCCTGAGGCGAGGAGTACGTGAAGCCGAAGCGCTGAAGGACCTGCTGCACCATGTGTGACTGAGTCAAGGTAATGGTGCGGCGTGCTCTGTCCCGAGTGATCTGCAAGCCAAGGTAGCTGCGCAGTTCACCCAGGTCTGTGCACGTGTGTCTCTTCAGCAGCTCGGACTTCACGTAGGCGAGTCCAGCAGTGTCCGCTGTGGCAAAGACCAAGTCGTCGACGTACACGAGGATGTAGAACGGCGGCAGGGAAGTGTCGGTGCGAAGAAACAGCGACGGGTCAGCAGTAGAAGGAGCAAACCCAAGAGCCGCAAGCGTAGTCCTCAGTGTGTCGTGCCACTCACGCGGTGCCTGGCGGAGACCGTAGACTGGCCGTCGGAGGCTCCACTGGGTGCCAGGAGGGAAAGTCCCAGTGAAGCCAGGTGGACGGCGAAGCCAGATCTCCTCGTGCAGGCTACCCTGCAAGAACGCAGTGCTGAAGTCGAGAGAGTGAAGCTCGTAGTCGCGCTGAGCGGCTATGTGCAGCAGAACCCGAAGAGTAGTCATCTTCGGGGTGGGAGAGAAGGTCTGAAAGTAGACAACTCCCTGCCGCTGACTGAAGCCACGAGCAACGTACCGTGCCTTGAAGACAGGTGGAGAGCCCGGCGGCCGCTTCACCCTGAAGATCCACATGCCACTGACGATGTTCGCCCCAGGAGGGGGAACCGCGTCAACGTAGGTGCCTGTGGACTTCCAGGAAGCCATCTCTGCATCCATAGCTGCCTGCCACTGAGAGGAGTAGGGACCCTCTACGGCCTCCGCGTAAGAACGCGGAGTCGGGATGTCTAGTGCATCCGGGTCTCCCTCAGGGGCAAGCAGTACAGACGCGAGATGAGGTGAAGCAGCCGCTAGACACTGTAACTCCTCCTGCCTGTCCTCTAGGACGTCCGTGCCAAGAGCACACTCACCCCCGACGGACGGAGGACAGACAGACGCAGACTCAGCAACAAGACTAGCAGCGTAGTCGAGACGACAGCGAGCAGCAAAGTCAACGAGCTCAGCGACTAGAGCAGACGCAGCAGTGGACTCAAAAGAGGGGTCAGTGACGACAGTAGCAAGCAGACGCGTGACAGTAGGACTCGCAGCGCGAAGAGAGTCCGACTCAGGGTCGGCAAGCGCAGGAAGAGAGGACTCAGGAGGAGAAGGCAAAGGGGCACGCAGAGGAGCAGTGGACGGACGCAGAGACATCCGGTGCGTGCCAGGGACAGGAGGAGGACGCTGACGCGAACTGCGACCACTAGCGCGAGCAGCACGAACAGGCGACGCGGGACGAGACGCAGGCTCACGACGCTCAGCAAGACCTCCAGTAGGACCAGTGTAAGGAGAGGGAGCAGGCAGTGGAGAGGAAGGCTCCAGCAGGGACTGCGACTGGACAGGCGGTGGACCCTCTACTGGAGGAGAAAGACCAAGAACCTGCTGCAGGAGCGGAACGAAGTACGGCCGAGGCCGCGCGGCGGCTCCAGACTCAGCAGGGACAGCACCAGCACCCTCAGCGACAGCACCAGCGCCACCCACACCTCCAGCGGCAGGACCAACAGCAGCAGGCTCAGCACGAACGCCCTCAGCAGCTTCAGGTCCAGGAGGACCCGCAGGTCCAGCAGCTCCGGGACCGGCAGCACCCGCACCCTCGACGGTCGAAGAAGCTCCAGCTCCAGCTCCAGCAGCACCTCCAGACTCAGCAGCACGCCTCCAGCGGCGAGCGAACCACTCGCGCAGCTCCTGTGGAGAGAGGGGCTCCCGGCGAGACGCAGCAGCAGGAGAAACCCCAGGCTCAGCAGCTCCCAGCTCAGCACCCCCAGGCTCAGCAGCTCCCGACCCAGCACCCCCAGACCCAGCACCTCCAGGCACAGCACCCCCCGGCTCAGCACCCCCAGGCTCCGCACCCACCGCAGTAGCACCCTCAGGCCCAGCACCCCCAGCAGTAGCACCCCCAGGCTCAGCACCCCCGCGCACAGCACCCCCAGAGTCAGCACCCCCAGGCTCAGCACCCGCAGCAGCACCAGAGTCACCAGTAACCTCGACCGGGTCAACGGCGTCTACCTGGGACACACCTGAGGGGGCAGGAACCGGAGGGGGGAGGGGGTCTACCGGGGGGGGAACCGGCACAAGGAAGTCCGGGGGAGGGGGGAGGGAAGGAGTGCGGTAGGGGAAGAGACGGTAGAAGGGGACTGACTCGTCAAACGTGACGTCCTGGGAGGACAGAACACGACGAGAGGAGGGGTGGTAAAACTGCCACCCTGGGGCGTCAGTGGGGAAGCCAAGGAAGACACAGGGAGCAGCACGAGGGGACAGCTTGTCCGCAGACAAGTCGCGG